TGGTAATGGTAGCAATTCTAATCAATTAAACTTTCCAGAGGGTATTTTTGTTGATGATAGTGGCAATATTTATATAGCAGATTCGTTTAATCATCGTATTCAAAAAGTGTCACCAAATTCATTGAATGGGGTGACAGTGGCTGGAGGAAATGGAAACGGACCCAACTTAAATCAGCTTGGTTTTCCAGGAGGAGTTGCTGTTGATAGAAACGGGTATATTTATGTGTCTGAATGGGACAATAATCGTGTGGTGAAATGGCATGCGGGTGCAACAACTGGAATGCTGGTAGCTAGCCACATACCTTATGCAAGAGGAGTGCAATTCGATAAAACTGGTAATTTATATGTAGTTGATAACGTTAATCATCGTGTTCAAAAGTTTAGTATTAATAATTATTGTTCTACCGCAGTAGCCAAAGTCTGGAATTACTCAGCTTTACTGATAATGTTGTGGTAAGTAAATTTGCCGGTTTAACAATTCTACACAGTCACTTTAGAGAAGTTTTCAACTATTAATTCCTTGACTCTATTTTTTTTAAACAGTAAATCTGAATCTATCGATTTAACAGTATGTGCATAAGTTGTCCAATAAATATTTCTGCTAATAACGGGTGGGGCATAATGAATGGCCGCGTTTTGTATCTTACTTTTTCATCATCTAATACATTGTATTAAAAAACAAAATATATCAGGTAAATCCAGCGTGAAAAGCTCTACAATTTACATAAGATCACTTATTTTATAGTTGCACTTTTTTGCTTTCACAATGGACAAAATTTTGTACGACCAAATTTTGAACGTTCGAAAAAGATAATTTTTTTTGATAGCCGATGAATTGATTCTTTTGTTATTTTATCTTTTCATTATTTGATAGGCTTTATTAAAAGAAAAACAAAATATACCAGAAGATGCAGCGTAAAAAGCTCTACAATCTACAGAGTAAAGCTTATTTTAATTGTATAATTTTTGTTGTCAAAAAAAAGCAAAATTATGTGTGATCAATTTTCGTCGCTTCGAAAAATGATCGTATAGACTATTACATTTTTTGAAAACAAAAATTATACAATTAAAATAAGCTTTACTTTGTAGATTGTAGAGCCTTTCACGCCGCATCTTCTGGTATATTTTGTTTTTTAATACAATGTATTAGATGATGAAAAAATAAGATACAAATGCGGCCATTCATTATGCTCCACCCGTTATCTCCATACCTATTCATCGTATAGACTTAACTTTTTTGGTTAGAAAGAGCATGCTTTCTAGTCTAAAATCCACATTTCATAGATTTTTATATGCATACGTGTAACAAAATCTATTCAGTTTTCTAAACCTCCTAAGAAAACATCTGGTAATTTTGAGCAATTTCGGTTTCGTTTTTATTGACGAAAAATTGAATATCTCGACTTTGTTTCAACACTTTGATCTGAATTTTTCAGATCACCTATAAGCCTGTATGAACTTTCGATATATATATACAAATTATTGCTAAACATGCTTTTAATCATTAATTTCGGGCACAAAAAATCAACTTAACCATTTTTGGTGTATATTCACTAATTCTTTAAAAAATTTTTCTTTTAACGACAAGCAATTATTAAAAGAATACTACAATAGAGAGGGATTTTTACGGCGTACAAAAATATATGTACAACCTTGATAAAACTATTTCTTCCGAGTTAATACGATACTTGAAATAGTAGGTCCTTTTGTCACACAAACTCTCCTGCTATGCGTCAACATAATTTTAAGAAATCAGATCTCCGAATATAAAAATCAGTTTGAGCTGAACTTTTTTCCTCAGTAGTCTGCAAGCAAGTACACAAGTTCAGAGTAATTTTTGGGCTGTAAGCACATGTATTTGTTTAGGTATGCAATACTGCTTACTAATAAAAACTTTTACCACGTGTTTTTAGGAGGTTTAGAAAACTGAGTAGATTTTGTTACGCGTATGCATATAAAATTCTATGAAGTATGGGTTTTAAACTAGAAAGCATGCTCTTTCTAACCAAAAAATTAAGTCTGTACGATGAATAAGTGTGAAGATATTAGCAGAAAGATTTATTGCAAAACGTATACGCATACGGTTAAGCCTGTATCAGTAGTGCACTACTGTTGATGAGATGAACGATAATGAAAAACAGCATGAAAGTGTATTCTATCTTACTAGGGAAGATCCGCAGGTATTACGCGCCGTTTTGAATCGTGTATTGGCCATTTTGTAGAGCTCAGTGAGTGCACCATCTGGTATAGAGGATTCATCCCTATGCAGGAGTTTTGAGGAGCTATGAAGTATCATATCTTCTGAAAAATTATTATGAGGTTCTCAGTAGGAGATTTGGATTTCAAAAGTATTATCATTCCAAGTAATCTGGATTTTTCGATTGAATAAATCACAACCGATTATATATATTCGAATGTCACACTTAAATACAAAGTTTGAACATATCTTTACTTTGAATATTTTGAATGTCATCAATATTGAAAGCATAGAATAATTAATTATTCTGTATAAAATTATTTTAAAGTTTATTCGAAAACTCTTCTTAAAATAAAACTAACAAAAAAAAATTGATTTTTGTATTGCAGTCTATGAGAGCCTACTTAATTGGTTTTTTTGCAATTTTTATTTGAAAAAAATACGGCAAAGAACGCTAGTGACAGTGATAAACAATAAAAAATGCTCGAAGCATAATGTTCCCGATAATGACTGCAGATAATAAATGCGCTGTCATTAAAACCTCCATTTGAGCAACCTGCAGCTTGAAACGAGAAACAGACGTCTATTACGTTAATTCTATGCGAAAAAAAACGTTCTAGAAGAGTCTTTAAAATAATTTTAGACAAAATATTTGACTATTCTATAGCTACTTGCAATATTGGTGATATTCAAAATATTCAAAGTAAAGATATGCTTAAACTTTGTATTTAAGCGTCACATACGAATATATATAATCGGTTGTGATTTATTCAATCGAAAAATCCAGACTATTTGGAATGATAATACTTTTAAAATCTCAGTCTCCTACTAAGAGTCTCATAATAATTTTTCGGAAGGTATGGTAGTTCGTAATTCCTTAAAAGTTCTGTATGGGGACGAACCCTTTATACCCGATTTTGTACTCACTGAGCTTTACAAAATGGCCAATACCAGATTCAAAAGACGCATAACACCTGGAAACCTTTCCTCATTAGTTAATTTTTAAAGCTTGTTAAACATTCTTCAAATCACTGGCTGACAGATATACCTCTTAGCTATTGTCAGAATTCCATCCAACTTATTTATCCTGCTATCAAATTACGCTTCAAATAACACTGAATAAATCTTTTTTGTTCTTCTAGTTCAGCTTTGATAGCAACAAAACGACAATATTAACTATATTTACATATTCAACATCAACTTTACTAAAAACATGTTTGTTATGATTTTCTTGCTATTTTTCACTTCAAAAGAGATTTTTCAATATAGAGTAATTTACTATTGTTTATTCAATATGAAATATATATCATACAGCTGTTCATTTTACTAGTACTACTACATAAAAAAATTTCAGCAAACAAAAACGGTGTGGGTGTGAGTATGAACGAACAGAAAACAAATACACACACCTACACCCACACTCCAAGATCGTTGAAATAGAATGACCTTTACCCACTCCAAATAGCAGATAATCTTCTTCAATGAACATGTCAATTGATGATAAAGATCAGCAGAACAAATTTTGTAATGAAAATCCAAATTGTGTTTAGATATTTATACGACGTTGCTACTTGACATTCAGATAAATTTTTTTATGAAAAATTTTTTTTTTCACTGTTAAATTCGTTACTTGATCAATAATATAATCAATCGATAAGAGATCTAAAAGTTTAAAGTGATGACTTTTATTTGATAATATATTTAGAGCAAGTCCTTCAGGATTTGAAGAATCAAATGAACATATATTAACTAAAAAATAAATCATTATTTAAATCTAATTAATATAAAGTATTTCTTTTTCAAATGATGAAAGATTTTTTTTGTACTAAAAACAGAAACTTTAACCTGTTCATTCGATTATAAAGAAAGATTAACATTAGTTGTTGATTTAATTCATAATATCTGACATTTTGTTTGATGTTTGCTTTAATTATTGTCTTCAATACCACAAACAGCAGGAGGACAAGAGTTAGCAACAAATTGTACTACATCAAGCATATCATGTAGAAAACTATACTGTAAATAAACAGATTAATTACTTAAATTAATTAAAAAAAGAATGATTTACTTATGTTGAATAACTGAAATTTGTATGTGGAATATTTTCCAATTGATTATAATACTGATAATCAGCGTTTTATTAAGTCAAAGTTAAACCACTCGATGTTGATGTAAGAGAAAGACCAATACTTGATTTTATTTATTCGTATGACCACATTTCTTATCCTTATATTCGGTGATATTAAATGTTAGTCGATCTTTCTAGCTCAGTAAGCACATGGATTGTTTTTGTCTCTTTCTTTCTTCGTAGGAGCAATTTCTTTTAATGAGATAAGATATCTCTTGGATGAAATTAAATTTCATAATACTGTAATTGAGATTAAGGAGGGTGAAATGTAATTAAAATAAGCAAGTATCTATACTAAAAATAGAAGTCATATCGATTTCACGAAAAATGTTTATCTTCGACTGGAATCGGACTATACGAGATAATTTCATGTATTTTTCAGATTAGAAAAATGGAATTATAAAGATATGTTATATTCATATTTCAACCAGTCAAATTTTTATAGTAGATATGTGATTAAAAACGATATTCTGATGCTGTATCATGGATGATTTGCATTACTAGAACATGTGCAAATTTATTAAAAACAGAAATTTAAGAGATGTGAATAATTGAAATCATCTAGAAAAACAGGGTAAAGCGTATAAGTATCAGATGCTGTAAGAGTGTCGAGTTCACAAATATTGTTTGTGTTGTTGTTCGTGTTCCTCTTCCAATTCCTAAATTATGTAGTATTCATGTATCCATCAATTGAATAATTTCATCAGTAGATGATTGACTACATTGCACTTTTTCAACTAAAAATTGTCGAAATTCAGCAAATGTTTTATGAATCAAATAACGACCGACTAAGTCCGTCATGGTCAATATATAATATGAACGCAGACGATCAAAATCAACATCATTTCCTTTTGATAATAGTAAATCACTGATCTAAATATAAAATTTACTTATTAAATATAAAGAAAATGATCCACATCACGATTGCTTAAATGACTAAATGGAAACTTTTCAGATGTTATCAAATCAATTTGATTATCTTCTAATATTAAAGGAGAATTATTTGATGGATTTTGTTTTTGATTATTAGTTTTTGATGATGATGAGCAGTGCATTTTTATTCTCAGAAAGAATGAAAACAGATGAAGATGTTTCGATTTTTGACGATATTTTCTTAGAAGATTTTGGCATTTGATTCATAAGTGATAAAATATAATTGATTTGAGCATCGATTTTAGCTAAGAGTGACATTATATCGACAAAAGAAAAAGAACCATACAATTGTCATATTCGAATTACCGCTAAAATATTTCTATTCATTGATATAACATTAAAACAGTTTAGCAATTTGTTCTTTATAAGCATGTATGATCTTCATTGACATACGCACTAACAATAGCAATCAAATAAATATAATCTACAGCTACCACAATTCTTTAGAATAAACGTTTTTACTTCATCTCTATTAAATCTTCCACATTAATATGAGATAAGAACTGTAAGAAACATATTTACATCTCACAAAATTTCAATAAAATCATGGAAATCTTCTGTATACTGATGTATTTGCTAAAAATTCTGTCTTCTATTTTTTTAGATTAATGATACAAAGAAATGTGTAGTTAGTACATATCTCTCTCTAACAAAATATATACTGTATATTCAGATAGATATATTTTATTCGTCATCATTCTTCTCATCGATATTGTCTTCTAGGAAATAAAGTAAGTTGATTTTAAATTCTACAAAATATAATCAGTGTTAGATTTCATAGTCGAATTGTCGTAATGTACATCCATATTGGTCTTCTATTAACAATTGTTATTGTCGTGATAAATGGGTCAATTCCATCAACAACAATTGAAATTGATTTAAATGAATTAACAAAATTACATAGAGAATTTCTTGTTCGATCCCCATCTATAGCTGCTTGCCAAGCTTATGAACTTCAATGTCGTGCTGTTACTGAATGTTGTCCAAATGAGCAAGAAAATCTTTATACTTTATTTACTGAAAGTCAATTGAATGAAAAATGTTTAGCTAATAGACCAAAATTAACAAAATCATCTCTTTCATCCTTATGTATGTCAACACTTCATCAATTAATTCAACTAACAAGAGAACCAATTTATAAACAATATTTTGAAATGCTTGGAAATAATATTAAATAGTTTTCATCGAATTAAAATATGAAGAAAACAAATGAAAATGGTTTGTTCAAATGCTGAACTTAATACTTATTATTGTGAACGAAATAATATTGAAAAATTAAAATCATGTCAAAGAAAAGTTTTAGAAATGGTTGCTAATGAAAATATCGATGATGATGGAACGATTTATAAAACATATGTGTCTCATAGGAACAAGAATATGCTATTGATAATCAAAAACTTGCTCAAGCTTTTTCTAAATCTTAATTTATTTCCAATGAATTGTTCTATCGTCAATATGTTTGACAATGGACACTAAATAATGTATATATTGATCATAATATTGCTAAAGCATTATCTAAAACCTAATTTCGTTTTTTTTCTTTTCTTAATAAATAATAATCATTTAATATTGTAAAGTGTTTCTGTTACTGAAGTTTTTCAATTTCAACATAGATAATATGGACGTAATGATGGAAAGAATAGAAAAATCTTTTAGAGATTCTGTTAATGATTAAATTATAGAAACAAATAAAATTGTCAAGTTTATGTAATCTTTTTCATTTTGTTTTTGAATTTTTTTTCTTCTGAATAAGATTGTTACTTTTTTTTTATCAAGATATTTTTGTGATAATATTTCCTTTATATAAATATCATTGTTTCATGTTCATGGTATTTGACTATACCATGAAAAATATCTCGTATCGATTAAATAATGATTACTTTATTTTGAATACATGCAGAAAAATTTTTTTTATAAGATTTGAAATAATTGATACGAGAAGAGACACAGGTAGGGTCCTGCGGGAACCAATTTTTCCTGTATTTTCCAGTCCTGTTTCTCGCTGGAATCGGTAACAGGAATTCCCGTGGAGATTTCGGGACGGAAACACGGGAACGGGAACAATAAAAAAAAAATATCCATTCCTGAAAATCCGCTTATCCTATTTCTATATGCGCTAAAGTGTGTTCGTGTAACAAACTTTTATTTTCAATAACTATTTTCGTATATAATAAACAAAAACAAACAGCAAATACCTCTAAACAAACTTATGGAAATGCATTCGTTTTTCATTACATCTTACATTATGATGACGATCAGCTTCTTCATAATTATCATCGAAAGCACGATTATCAAGATTATCTACAACACATTAATATCATTTTCTTCTTTTGAAATTTTTACTTTTCTCATTGGTATCATCGAAGTGCAACTATTTATTCTTTTTCTTGATTACTCAGTTGATGATGGAAATAATTCTCTTGAAGTTGATAAATTTCAATTTCTAAATAATAGCTGATTTATTTCACTTCTATGCAAACGTGCATGACGACTTCTTGTTGTATCTCTACTTGTTTGAAAAAGGATGTTTTTATAATACTAATTGCCGAAATATACAGCATTTGTTGAGCTATTACAAACAGTATAGAGTTAACTATTGATTATTGTTTCAATATATAGAAACATGCACATCTTTTTCCGCTTGTATCTGATCTTCAACGTATCTTGTGAATTCAGTCTTTATTTCTTTTATCATCGTGTAACTTATCTAATGGTATTAGCACACATCCGCGCCCTCAGTATATGAAACAAAACGTTGCAGATTGATAGTATTGACAATAGCTAAATTTAATTTCGATGTAGCTTACTATAACCTATGTCATATTCTCAGAAACGTAATACTGTTAGAAGCTAATATCAGACAACGGTAGTTTTTTGAAATGTCAAAAGATGAAATATTACTAGGGACTCTGGACACCTTACGGGAACGGGAAACAAGAACCCAAAAACCTTGCTCCCGCAGAACTTCTAGACACACGTGAGTTTTATTACGCAGATTTCATGTGTCAGTATAAAATTATCTTACTGAAACAATGATAATTATGAGTAACTACCATTGTTACTCCTTCGTTTTCTATAAAATGTTAATATTCATCTTCGAAATATTTTATTAATAAGAACAAAATCCAATGTCCTTATCAATAATTCTTAGTTTATTTTATTGATTAGACTTTATTCCAATTTTGAAATCTCATTGGTGTATTGACTACTTTTAAAGACATACTTTCAACTTTTAAAAATTCTCGGCTGTTAACGATAACAATCGAAAAAGTTTTCATTATATGTTCAAGTGCAATCATTTAATGAATTATTGATTAACTTTCACTCGAGTTGATTAATCAGAATGAAGTGTTGTTTATTTGATCATATTCTATGAAAATTCTATAACAAATAAAAGCAATTGATCGTATGAAAATAGAGCGTCACTTGTATCAATGCGGAATCTTTCCTAGATAAACTCATCCATATTTAGTAATACAGATATTTCCTTATAGACAATAACTGACAATCATATAATATATTACAAAAAAAATTTGCTTATTATTCAAATATCATATTTGTAACTACTGTTTTTTTGTGTTCAAATTAAAATCTAAATAAATGTATCGAAATTGAATTTGAACAGATGTCCCTATTGTATATTATATATTATCTAAGCGTTGAGATTTGTTTTCATGTTAACCAACAAGTTGAATGTAATGAATAATTATGTTTTGCTTGGGTTTGATCCCTTAATTAAAATAGCAAAATAGTTCTCTGTTTTGCTAGAAATAGTTTTATTTGATTCAACCTCATACTGAAATTTTGAAGACAAATTATTGAATTAACTCGTATTTAAACCTGATTGAATTGATTACAAATGAAGATTTTCTTCTTTCTTAGTTGAATGTAATTCAGGTTAGAATTTGAATTATTTAATATGACTTCTCTTTATCTTATGTTTCAATAATTCTACACCACATTCTATCGTATGAAATGATAATATTTAAGAACATCCTACAAAAATAAAATTAGATAGTTGGTTGAGCAGATATTCGTTAATAATATTAATATACACTAATTCTGGCATTTCCTTCTCTTATTTCGATTTCAGCAATATTTCATTCAATTGATTCATAATTATTTGAAAATAAAAAGGACTTGACAAAATAGGATATAAGAAAAGATGATTTTAATATGAATCCGGATCGAGCCTAAAGTTTGACTTTTATGTGTTGTATTATTCTAATATAATATTTCTCGAAAATATAAATCTAGTAATTAATTATCATATCACATATTTATTTATATTTAAATATGAAGATTAAAATGCTGAGTACACAGTATCAGCAACATGCGTTGGACAGACCTAAAAATTACAAGTGTTATTCAAAATGTTGCGAGAACTTGTTCTGTCACCTATAGCTCTACCGATATTTATAGTGGTTCGAAACGTTCAGCAACAATGGTAGTTTCTTTCTCGAGATGGAGAATGTTGAAAAAAAAGTCGGTTTTTAGCAGGTTTTTGTTAAATATAGTCTGTTCTCTAGGTTTCAAATATCTTAATAAGAAAGTATCCGTTTTGAGTGAAAATTTCAGATCGATATTCCTATCTTTCAGTTTTTTATAAGATCGAATATTCCTGCCAAAGAACATTATGCAACTCTGAATCGTAAGCAAGATGACTCTTTTTAGCTATAGTATGAATATACTGAGGGTCCATAATCACAATTTTTGTGATTAATTTTTCTCCTGTTGTAAGAAAAGGGATCTTCGGTTTTTAAGAGTTAATACTGCTTTCGTATTGACACAATGACTATCTACTTCTCATCAGTTTTCAAATAGAACTTACAGCACTGTCCGTTTTACCTAAAAAGATTATGAGATGTTTTCAATTTCAACGAGACTTTTATATTCAGCATTTTCTAATATCTATAACTTTTAATGAACAATGTATAATTATGTTTAGAAAAAACTCTAGTTTGATTTAAAATGATGCTCTCAGTTTTTCAAGATAGAAATTTTTAATAAAACACACTATAAACAAATAATCGTCGTTTTTCTCTATAGAAATCAGTTCATCTTCAAACATTCAATAGAATATATATTTTCAACTCAATTCTAAACTTTGTTTCCAACATTTATTGTATCATTTTGTAGACAACATTAAATTAGAAAAAAAAAAGCATTTATGAAAATAAAGGAGATTGAATATCAGTCGATATAATGTTAACTTTGAATAATTTTCAAGTTGAAAAAAAATGGGGTGTTTGAAAAAATGAGTTCACATACAAATGAAATATGAACACTAATCGTTAAGTTGTTTATCAAGTAGAACTTTTATTTCTTCAAATTATATATGATTTAAAATGAAAGAAAATGTTTATTAACTAAATAACTACGATAATATTAATGATGAATAAACGTTACTAAATGATTCTATTCAGATTTAGCTGTGTTCAAATAGTATACATACTGATTTTCAACTTTGATATTTTTTTAATTAGTCTATTTCTTTATTATGATTTACAATGCTATATCTTAATTAATTAGTAAAACTTTTATTTGTGTTGTCTTTGTAAAATTACTGAAATTTAACTTAACGTACAATTGATCGAATGAAATTTTCGAAAACTGAAGGTATGCACTAAATAATGATAATCTTATTGTTTTAATGACTGAAAATAGTCAATATCTTTTTATTTAATTTTCAATGACAATAAAATAGTCTCATTTTAAAAAATGAAGAAAGATAAACTTCAATGTAAATCATCACAATTGAGACATATGACGAATTGACAAAATGTTTTGCCCTGCAACCCGCTATGTAATATAAATGACCTATTTATCATGACTAATGTCAATTTGAAAGCTGAAGAAAAGATAAAAATATCACCCTTGATATTTTAAAACAACTATAAAAAAAAACGAATCATCATTTTTCTCTATAAATTACATTTGTCATATTATATTCGATTAATATTATTAATGAAAACTGTTGTTAAATCAAATGATCCTTTAATTTCAAATAGTTTTGTAACATGTTATTCGGATTATCTTGTTATACATTTATATTATTTTCCATTTGGTAATAAAAAAATAAAATATAGTGATATTCGATCATGTGAATTTTATTCAACAGATGATCTTGGCATGTTCTCATATAAATTATGGGGAATGTCACTTACACCTGTTTGGT